ACCAGCAGCTGTAGCACTCCCTGAGAATCTGCTGGTAAGCACAGGCCCTTCCCTGACTCCCTGAATTAGAAACTCTGTGTTTAACAAGCTCTGCAAAAGATTCTGATGCCAGTCATGGTATGAGACCTCATGCTTTCAAGCTTCCCTCTGATAACCCTCCAACCTGAGCCCCACCATTGAACCCCACAATTCTCTTCCTTCCAAGTTCAGCAGCTCCACTCAAAAACTGCTCCAGAGCTCCCCATCAATTCCTTTTGTCTATGAACCACAAACATCTGTGACTCCTGGATCTCCTAATCTGTCTAAAAGTCTCTCTCATCAGTGGTAGGATTTGGGTGTGTGAGTGATGTGGAGTCAAAGCCCCTCCTTGGCTTAATAGGCTGGAAGCCCCTGCCCAATAAAAACTTATCTTTCATCCAGGCTGGAGGTCACAGGAGGTCACAGGTCTATCTCTATGCTGGTCTCCTTTCTTCAAAGGCAGTTCCAGGCTTCTAAGCAGGGACAGAATAGGACACTCTGAAACCTCAGCTCACCAGAGACATACGAAACAGAAAGACCTTGCAGAGTGAGGATGAATTTCATAGCAAGGTACAAGACCTACACTCCAAGAGGCCACCTGCCTGGATACTCTGACCCTCCTTCCACTGCCTCTGTCCACATCAGTGCTGATAGTGTTCAATTTCATGGCCAACCCAATCCCCTATCCAGCTAACCATGCTGAAAATGTGAGTCACATCACACAGGTGTAAAAAGTTCCTGGAGCTACTTAGCCCTATCCCCAAATCCCAGGGCAGAGCCTTCCAAGTTCCTACTGGGCCCTGCCATCTCACCCACCCTTTCTTTGTCCCCATGTCCAACTAAACCAGCCATCAGATGATGTATGGCTTCTGTACCAGGTATGCCCTTTGCTCCTGAATCCCACAAACACTGGTACTTCCTCTCCACCCAACTCTGTGCATCTCCTGGATCTTTGTGTCTTTTCCTTTGAAGTAGTACCTTGTGTCCTTGTCCTCTCCCTGACAAAGTCCTCCATCCATCCCTTGAAGGCTATCTTACTACATCTTCTGTCTCTATAAGAAAATATCTGAGATTGGTTAACCAGTAAAGAAAAGAAGTTTATTTGACTTATGTTTCTGGAGTTTATAAAATCCAAGAGCATGGCATGGCATCTGGTGAGGGCTTTCTTGCTGCATCGTGACATGGTGGAGTGCATCACATGGAAAGACAGAACAAGCATGAGAGCTTGAATCTTTCTTCCTCTTCTTACATAGCCACCAATGCCATCATGGGAGCCCCACTCTCATGACCTCATCTAATCCTAACCATCTCCCAAAGACCTCACCTTCAAATATCATTAACATATGAATTTGGAGATTCAGTTTCCAACATGGGTATTCTGGAGGACAAACATTCTAACCACAACAAGGGCTCATCCATCACTCATCTGGAAGTGTTCTCTGCCCACCTGCGGCAGGTTCAGGTACATAGGTGGCATGAGTCAGAGAATGCAGCCCTGCTCATCAAGAGCTGAGCAACACTGGCCAAGTGATCCTGTGAGCTTGTTTTCTCACCTGTACAGTGATCCTTCCCACATCTTCCTTAATCATTCCCATGCTCAATAAATATCTATTGCACACCAACTAGAGTCTTCGACGTTCTCAGACACAAAGGAGGCTTTTTGTGCTCTGAGCATTTTGATGGAGAAGACAACTAACACCCAACAAAACCCATAAATATAACAAAATGGCAGTCAGTGAGGGGAGAAGGAAAAGAGGATAAAGTTTCAAGGGGCAACAGGGGCTCCTTCAGATGGGGGAGTCAGGGGCCTCTGAGAAGAGAGGAAAGGCAAGAAGGAACTGGCAGGGAGAGGTAGGAAGGAGTGCCCACTGGGAGGGAGCAGCCCGTGCAGTCTCTAGACCCGAGCCCCTCAGTCATTCCAGGAACAAACAGGCCAAGGAGGCTAAATGGTGGGGAGGAACCCCGAGGCAGTGACAGATCTGCCCCCGAGAGGGCAGCAAATTCAGATGGTCAGAGCCACTAGGCAGAGGGTGGTGATTCTGAGTGATGGGAACAGGTTGGTGGCATTTTTTGGCTGTGGTGCAGATAGACTGAAGACACAGCCAGATGGACTGATGGCTATATGCCAGTGCCAACGGTGAAACAGCCCTGGCTGGACGGCAGGGCTAAAACCCCGCGTGCCAGAGCAGTGAACAGAATTCCCTAAACCCTCACTCGAGCCTCGAATTCCATACCCATTCACCAGGAGATGTTGAGATCCTCAAAGGGGACATTTTGTGCACACAATTCAAAACTTTTTATTTAGCATTTAAAATTCTGTAAGTTGGTATTCACTAAAGTTACAAATGTTAAAAGTTCTAGTTCTTTCTTCAGCTTTTAAATTCAATTTACTAATGTACTTATTTTATAAAGAAGCATAGAAACCAGGAGGCGTGGCACTTGCCTGTAATCCCAGCAATGGGAGGCTGAGGCAGGAGGATTACAAGTTTGAGGCCAGTCTCAGCAGTTTTGCAAAGCCCTAAACAACTTAGTGAGACCCTGTCTCAAAATTAAAACTAGGAGAGGGGCTCAGTGGGTAAGTGCTCCTGGGTCTAATGCTCAGTATCAAAAAAAAAAATAAACAAACAAAAACTCTACAAATTCGTACATTTAATTTTAATTTGCTTTTTAAAAAAGTCCTCCACTGATCTCAATAACAAGGAATAAGGCAAAGGAAGAGAAAAGAAAACCCTTAAGTATTAGTTATAAATCTAACACATTAAAATATTATGACACGTTCTCTTAGTGTCCCAATATTTTATAAGACTTAGATTTCAAGTTAAAAATCTCAAGTCTAAGTTAATCACTCAATTACAACTTTAAAATTTCAGTAAAAAGCTGGCCTAAGGAGTCTAATGAGCTGGATTATCTTAAACACCACAAACACTGACAAGACCCAATGCCCATGTTTAATAAGGTTAAAATTGTGGGTTTGATTCCCGTTAACATTTGGATGAATGATTCTACGATTTGGTTATCCAAGACAGTGTCAGAGTTACCTTCCCAAGGCATGTCGGGTTACATTCTTGGCTGGCAGAGAGTTCAATGGAGTGGCCCTGCTTGGCTGGCACCCAGCCCGGGGGCTGAGACTGTGTTGAGGTGGCTCTGCCAATTCCTTCCGCGTGGCAGGAGAGGGGGAGTCCTCCTCTTCAAGTCCCTGACTCTGGTCACAAGTCACGTAATTAGAATCTCTCTTCAGGAAGCTCACCCCACCCCGGCCCATGCTTTATTGGGTCCTGCTAGTCATTTATTGCTTCATGTGGTTCTGGATTTTCTTCTGGACTTTCCAGAGCCAACAGGTATTTAAGTGGCATCTTGATGACTCTTCCCTAACTGGTGATACCTGACGGAAACTGCTTGGTAGTGCTATTCCCCAAGTGGACATAAAGTGTCTCCCAAAAGCTCCTGCATCGATGCAGGGATATTCAGAGGTGAAATAATTCGATTATGAGAGCTAGAACCTAGTCAGTCCCTCCGAGTTTGAATGCCCTGACTGGGTGGTAACTATGGGTGTGTGAGGGATGGTGACTTGAGGAGATGGGTCACTGGGGGCATGACCTGGAAGATTCCCTCCACCAGGCACTTCTGCCATGATGTGCCTGCTGCCTCATCTTGGGCCCAGAGCAGTGGAGTCACCCGCTGTGGACTGAACCTCTGAAATCATAAGCCAAAATGAACTTTCCCTCCTCTAAGCTGATCCTATCTGGTATTTTGGTCACTAAAAAAACCTGCCTAACACACTGAGCCCTGATGATCTTCTCCCTAATCAGGCTGTCTTCTCCCCAAGGCAACGGTGCTGCTAGTGGCCCCAGCCTGCCCCAGCCGGATATCCAGCAGCAGGATAGGATGACAGGGTGTCCCAACTCTCTAGGGGTCCTGAATATGAATGTGCATGGAAACAAACTCCTTTCACCAGCCATGGGGTACCCTCCCAGAAGCAGTATCTCCTCAAGCTTCTCCTGGCCACTGGCAGGTTAGGAAATGTCCCTGTATCCCTCCCTCCAGTTGCTTCCTATATTGGGTTGAGGGCCAGAAATGGAGGGTTTTCTCAGGTACCAGCATCTTGGGTGGCCTGGGGAGCAGTAAGGAGAGGGATCATCCAATGCCAGCAAAGAGGCCATAGGAAAGGCCACCACAGGTGCTCTGGATGCTGACTGCTGTGCAGAAGAGCCAATGTCGTCCTCGTAGGCTGAGGAAGTTGCTGCCTCAGGAAGCAGAGGCCTGATTGACCTATGACAGAATGGTGGGCTCAGGCCCGGGACACTTGCATCAAGGGCTCATGAGGGTCAACGGTCCAAGATGGTAGTGAACATGGGACTGTCACCCTCATTTCTATTTCATTTTATCAAATGAATTTTGATATGATATCATTAAATGAAAGCAAAAGTGGAGGTAAAAATGTTCACTCTAATGATCAGAGAAATGTGAAGTAGAACCACAGTGAGGTACCACTTCACATCCATTAGGATGGCTGTTATCCAAAAGTGGACAATAACGAGTATTAGGCCATGGAGAAATGAGACCTCTCCTAGATCACCAGTGGGAAAGTAAAATGGTGCAGCTGGAAGCAGTCTGGCAGGCCTTCAAATAGCTAAATGTAGAGTCACCACAGGACCCAGGGTCTTCAGGTTTGGGTATATCCTCAAGGGAAATAAATACATGTGTCCACGTTAAAAACTTACACAGAAATGTTCAGAGCAGCATCATTCCTAATAGCCCCCAAACAGGCACAACCCAACATCCACCAGTTGTGAATAGATTCAAAGAAGTTCTATCCATACACTACGTCATTATTTGGCCACAAGGGAATGGAATATAATGTGCTACCCCATGGATGTTTCTTAAAAATATTATGCTACTGTTGGAGTCAGCTTTTTCATTGGTGCAACTAAAAAACCTGACAAGAGCAATGTAGAGAAGGAATAGCTCATTTAGTACTCACAGAGGTCTCAGTCCATAGATGGCCAACGCCATTGTTCCGGGCCAGAGGTGAGCAAGGACATCATGGCAGAAAAGTGAGGGGAGGAAGGCAGCTCTGGACATGGGAACAGGAAGCAGAGAGAGAGGGAGAGATCTTCATTCACCAGGGACAAAATGGAGTCCCTAAAGGCATGTCCCCAGTGATCTACTTCCTCCCAACACACCCTACCAGCCCACATTTATCACCAGGTTAATCCATATTAGTGAATTAATTCACTGATTAGGTCACAACCCTCCTAATCTACTCATTTCACCTCTGAACATTCTTTCATTTTCTGACACATGAGCTTTTGGGGGACACCTCATATCCAAACCATAACAGCTACATTAAAGCAAGATACAGAGGCCACAAATGGTATGACTCAATTTATATGAAATATTCAGAGGAGGCAGACCCATAGGGACAGAAAGTAGATTAGTGGTTGCTTAGGGTGGAGGGGGATGGGTGATAGCTGTGTGCAAGATTTCCTTTATGAGGGACATTCTCAAATCGACTGGGTGATGGTCGGGTATGTCTGTGAATATATTAAAATCCATTGAAGTCTGGTCATTAAATGGATGAATTGTATAATGTGTGAACTATATCTCAATAAAGTTGTAGGAAGAAACACACCTGGAGAAATGTGGCTTCCACTCTATTCCCTCTTTTTACAAAAATGAAATATACATAGACGCATAGATATGTACACATATAACTTTTTAAAAATGTTCCCTACTTTCTTAAACAAGTAGTAGTATCCTCTGTGTACTATAGAACTTTCTCTTTTTAATTTTTTCTTTACCAAGCCACACCCCTAGCTCCCTCACATTCTTTTTGATGGATGTATAGTACTTCAAAGTGGGTATATTAGGCATCACAAAATATGCTACCTAGAATAACCTTGCCTGTCCTTTGCTTCGTCTCCATCAGAGTGATTCCCTGGGAGAGGCTCGTGAGTTCCAGGGCCGCAGGTGTGGTAGATACTGCCGAATTCCCCTCTGCAGGTAAGAGCAGAGTCAAGGTGCTGTCCCTCCAGCCCCATGACAAGTGCTGATTCTCCACATATGCCTTGGTGGCCTCATCTGTAAACCAGGTTGCTGAGGGAATGGAGTGAGTCACACGGGGCCCAGTATTTAGAAAGCATCTGGGATCTCAATGGTACACAGGATTCCCGCAGGCTTCCTTCTTATCACCCTCACCCTCTAGACTAAGCCAGCCAACGTGTGGCTGAGAAAGTGCTGCTGGCCACTCCAGAGGAGCTTCCTCTTTCATCTTAGGGAGTGGAAGCAGCTGCAGCTGTCGCTCCAAAGCACAGTGGGGCTGGGCCTGGAGGAAGTGGGGGGATAAATGGGCTAGTGAGAGGACCTAGAAGGGATGTGGGAGGGGGTGGCCCGACCAATGCACCCATCCTCTGGCCAACACGTCCTCGGGGATCAAAGGATGACTTGGGGAGCAACTTGAGAGTGATGGGAGGGGTGCTCCTCAGCTGGAATTTGGGGATGGCTCTCCAGTGAGAGGCAATCGAGTGGAGGCCTGCGAGAAGTGAGCAGCAGGCCTCCATATCTGGAGAGGAGAGTGCCTGCCACGGCCCCAGAGACCAGCAGCCTCTTGCTGTAGACAGGAAACTGCAGGGAGGCTCTGCAGGATGGGGCTGGCAGGAAGGTAAGGACGGACGAAGCAGAATTTGAGAGGAGAGGCAGGTGCCTAGATCAGGAAGGGTCCAGAGACCTTTGGGAATAAGAAGGGATCCAGAGTTAAAGGCTATCTGAGAAGGCTTGACTGCGGACAGGGGGTGGCTGGTGTCTTAGTCCAGGAAAGAGACCCTGGAGTCTTCTGGGTGGAATCTACTTTGATGGTGGAACCAACAGAATTTACACCTACCCATCTTCATGGGTAGCAGATCCTCTTTTGAGCCTGAGCATGAATGAATCTAGAGCTTCTAGCAACAGGTCCCCTCTGCTGAAAAGAGAAAGAAAAACAACAATTAAGAAAAAAGAAAAACTTCTAAAGCATCATGGCAGAAGCCCCCACTGTTAAAATAATTTGAACAGACTCTTCACTGAATTTCCAAACTATCACCTGCTCAAGTCACTCTGCTACTTGGTCTCTATGTGCATCTTGCCCAAGATATCTCCAGGGTTCCTCCTGACTATCCCCAGACAGCTCCAGCACAGGGAGGAAGGAGCCTGAGGAAAGAAAGAGCAGCAGTTGTCCCCAGCATGACCTTTGGGGACAGGAAGAGGCAGTAACTCTGGGTACCTGCAGGCCTCTGCAGGGGCAGATGATCACATGATTAGAGGTCAGGGTCGGGACCAGAGGAACCTGGTGAGTCCAATTATAAGGACACTGGTCGGGGCAGCCTCCATGCTGGAACAGGTCATGATGGGCAGGGCAAGTTAGGGCCTAGAAGTGCAGAGGCCAGTCACATTGAGGTGAGGTGCTGAGATTCTGAGACCCAGGCCCCCTCAGAAATGAGAAGGGTGGAGTCACCCCAACTCTCCCCGAGGGTCTTTGTCAGCACCTTAAAATTACAACATGCAAAGATGGATGCGAGTGATGATCACGATTACCTGAAACCGCCACACAGCATCATTTTTCTTTCATGGAAGTAGTATGCAGGGTGGGGGTCTCAGGGTAGGTGCCGCCTATTCTCGGGGGTAGAAGGACTTTTGGAAGGTCAGAAACACAAACTCTAGCAGCCACAGTGACAGCCAACCGGTTCTGAGGCCTACAACCAACTGCATCCGCACCATGAAGGCCAAGACAGAGGCCACCCCCCCCACTCCCCCACCCCCCACCCACCCCCACTGGAATGTGAGCACGGGGAAGGGGCAGGGTGAACACTCCAGGGGATAGGGATGTCCGGTGGTGGTCACAGGTCAGGGTCCCATAGGGTAGGGCCAGGCTGCCTTCAGGGCACAGGCTGCTGTGCAGGGGTGGAGGGAGTGGGGGGTTGGGAGCGTTGTGTTAGAGACTGAACAGGACACGAGGACATGAGGCATTGTCATCTCCCCCAGAGGTCAGTGGCCTGTGGAGGAAAGCAGAATCTGTGGGCCTTAGACAATGTGGCCAGTCTGCATTGCAGGGAATGACACATGTCAGGACCCCTCCTCACCAGAGGTCTCCCTACAGTCACCAGTGCTATCTCAACCTATCAGGCCACACAGGAATCACAGGCCTTCCTGGTTTCCTGGAAAACCCCTCAAGGCAAGCAGTTCATGAATTCCAGGAATTTACTAGAGCCTTGGGAATCAGTGGAAGGGCCCCTGGCCTGTTCCCTCCCTCTTGCTCTCCCTGTTCCTGGAGCCCCTGATGGTCTGAACAGGGCAGTACCCCATAGTATCACCCCCAGCCCTCCCAAGGACTGACACACATAGCTTCTGTGCACCCCCAGTCCCTAAAGCCCAACCCACAGCTTCCTCAAGCTCCCCATAGTCCCACCCCCAGCTTCCCACAGTCCCACCCATGGTCCCCCCAAACCCCACCCTAAGCCAATCCACAGTCCTCCTTGGCCCCCCACAGTCATTTAAAGCCCCACTGAACACCCCCCAACTTCCCACACAGCCCTAACTCAGAGTTCCTCTCAGTCCCTCAACACCCTCCCCATAACTTTCCAGAGCGCCCTTTCCGCTCTCCCCAGATCCTCCATCTCGTTCACAGCCCATTGAGAATGAAGAGTCCTTTCCTGTATCAGCAACCTAGTAAGGATCAGGACAAGGTGCCACACTGAGGGGCCATGGGCACTTCCTCAGCACAGATGCCAAGAAAGTCAGGGTCAGGGCATGATGTGTGGTCTGGGCTTCAGAGGATGAGTGAAATTTGAGTCCAGAGGCCTGTCTCAGCTTGGGAGCAGACCAGGAGAAAAACAGGAAAGTAAACACAGGGCTAATCCTGAGAGAAAGAGTAAGAGATAGGAAGATCAATTCAGCAAGTCCGCCTTCAACTAACATGGAGCCCATAAAGGAAAGAAGAGTGAAGGAGGAAAAGGAGCAGTGATGTATGAGACACATTTCAGACCTACAGAGACAGAGTCTTCAGATGGAGGGGTCCATGGAATACAGGCTGAAGGAACAATGTCTGCTCTTAGAAAGGGCCGTAAGAAAGTGCAGAGCAACAGTGGACAAGATCAGCTGCCTGACTTCCAAAACAGTAAAAAGTAAGATGTTTGCTGCAAAGGCTGAGAACCCTAGTGAGTCAGACTTCCCATGTGTTACCACGCTCCCAAAAGAACAGGGAAGTAATTTTGAACTTAGTTTTCTATATTGGGCTAAATTATCAATCAATAAGGGGCAGAAGAACAATATTTTCAGAACTTTGAGGTTTCAAAACAGCCAGATGTAGTGGTACGTGCCTGTAAACTCAGCTGTTCTGCAGATGGAGGCAGGAGGATCACAAGTTCAAGGCTTACCTCATCGACTTAGAAAGACCCTGTCTCTCTGGGCTGAGGTTGTGGCTCAGTGGTAGAGCATTCGCCTCGCACGGGCGAGACCTTGGGTTCCATCCTCAGCACCACATACAAAAAAATAAACAAGTGAAATAAAGGTGTTGTATCCAACTACAACTAAAAAATAAATTAAAAAGATAAAAAAGAAAAAAAAGAAAGATCCTGTCTCAAAAATGAAAAAGACTGGGATGTAGCTCAGTGGTAGAGTATTCCCAAATGGAAGGAAAAAAAAAGTATTTAAAAAAAGAATAAGTAAAAAACAAACCCACCTGCCACAATCCTTTCTGGGACCATTATTTGAGAATATATTCCAGGAAAGTGAGAAAGAAAGATATGAGATTTATACTATGCACTGACTCACCAGAGGGTGGTGAGTCTCAAGTACTATGTGTAGACTTGGGATGGGGAGGAGATTAGAGAAGGAGAGGAGGCAAGGGGACAAAAAGAGTAAAACTGAGGTGAGGCACAAGCATGTTATTATTCTGCAAATAAGAGGTAAGGAAGTTGGGCAAGGTGGTATACGCCTGTAATCCCAGTGGCTCAGGAGGCTGAGGCAGGAGGATTACAAATTCAAAGCCAGCCTCAGCAATTTAGCAAGGCCCTAAGCAATTTAGAGAGACCCTGTCTCAAAAAAAAAAAAATAATAATAATAAATAAAAAGGGTTGAAGATGTGGCTCAATTGTTAAGTGCCCCTGGGTTCGATTCCTGCTTCCAAAAATAAACAGATAAATAAATAGGTAAGGATTAAAAGCTATAGAAATAAAATTACGTGTATAAAAAAATTAAGTGTATAATAAAATACATAGCAAACTAAAATGTGATATGACTTGGAGGTACAGATAAAGTGAAAAATGGATTCACCTAATGAATTTGCTCCTTTATTTGTTTATTTTTATCTTGTAAGAGGTTCTTACTGTATTCCTCATGCTGGCCTGGAACTTTGGAGCTCAAGAGATTCTTCCTGCCTCAGCCTGCTGAGTAGCTGCACCAGCACAACACCAAACCCAGCTCCCAATCTGCTCTTGATCCTGGGAATGTATTCTTTGAGTGAGCTGAGATGGAGGTGTCCACATTAGGCTCCCTGGGCTCAGTTTCCCTGTGCAGTGAGTACTGTAATATTGGTGGGCTCAGCTCAGGGTGGAACCATTGGAATCCACCTTTATTATAGTCAAACTTTGCAAAAGCACCTGGGGCTGCGGGGAGTGAGTAGAAAGGGAGTCAAAACACAGAGCAAAGGTGGAATAGCAGACAGGAGAGAGAAAGTGTGTTAGTAGTTTCAGGGAGAACCTTCCGGAAGAGTTGAAACATTCCCCATGAACGGGAGGTGGAGAATGTGGGAGGGACAGGGAGGAGAAGGAGCTAATTACTGTATTCAGCCTCCATATCAGAGAGTCGGTATATCTTATCAAAGGCTCATAAAACACAAAACAGGAGGACCAGCATTTTATTGAGGCTTAAGAGAATGGCCAATGAAAAACAGAAAGGTAAGAAAGGGTTTAACCCTGCCTGGGATGGTGGAACTGGTGTGGAAGGTAGGGTAGTCAGAGGTGGGAGAGGATGGAGAGAGATTTTACCATTAGGTTTTGTTTTGTGTTTTATTTGCTTTTGTAAAGCCTATTTATTGGGGGTTACTTTGACTAGAATTTTCAAATTTAAAAACTAGAACAAATCGAATTACTTTCCAAGTCTTTGAACACCGTGACTCAACACTCCCTAAAATACACGGATTTTGCTGTTTGACTTCTTTTAAGGTTTCCACTGCCTTTTCTCAGTTAGTTTTACAACCATCACCAAATGTAGACAGACCATGCCTTCTTTACCCTATTGTTCACAGGAAGGAAAAACAAACAGTTTCCGGTGCTTGTCCCAAGGCACAGTGCCATCTGGGGAGAAGAACAGCAACCGCCCTTGGTGTTCAGGAGTCTGCAGGTGCCAGGGCGGGTATCTGCCATCCCTTGCCACACTAGGGCAGATTCATGAAAACTGCTCTTGTTTCAGAGGCATCTCATCAAGGAGCTCAGCCCCTTCTCCTCCCTGGCTGGAGACAGAGCAGTCGGTTTTTCCACCCCCACCCCATGTTATTTGGTGGCGTGTGTCCAAATTAGTGCTGTGATCCAGCGGCCAGACTCCCTGGAAGCACTCCTATGTTGGAGTAAACCTCTGCCCAGTGAAGGGTGCAGCCTGGTCACAGCCATCTGTACACACATCTGCACATTGCAGTTGGATAAGCCCAGGTGACACACACGGGAGCCCCATCCTTAGACCAAGTAACTCAAATGTTTCCTACTTAGAAAAATACAGAGAAAGGAAACAATAAACCCATTGCTCCCGACAACTGCTCTAATAAATCCTAAATCAATGTAATGTTGCAGGCCACAGTTGAAGCCCCCTTGGGCCCCTTCTGAACCACCCTGTCCTGACCTTGGGGTTAACCTTCCCCATGTGATTTCATGGTGGGTAGGATATTTGTCAGCTCAGGCTACTGAAACCAACTACCATACACTGGGTGACTTAAA